ACAATTTCTACCTGACATGAGATTTTTAAATGTGCAGTCTTGTCTTCCCTGCAAGGTCATGTAGATGTGTGTTACTTATGAAACAATCTCAGACATCCTAAAATCTTGCAATAAGTATTAAAACTTCTCTACAGGGTTCCCACACTTTTTGACCAATGAATTTCCATCTTTCCAGTCATTTGAGAAAACTTTATTTTTCTGATTCAGTTTGAGCCCATTTGTCAGATTCATTATAGGCGCTAACAGAAAACTATATATTGACCATAGAATTTTCCACGACTTTTCCAGGATCTTTAGTCATTTTTGACTATGGAATAACAAATTGTGAATCAGTCCAATTCACCAGCAAGTACACAAAACATTTGATAGATTCATTACAGCACTTGGAGAAAAGCGTATATTAACGTCCAAAAGTTTGGGATTTTTTAAATCTCTTATGCTAACAATGCCTGTCTTTATTTGATCGAAAATATAGAAAAAATAACCGTTTTCTCTTTTAACATTTAATTTTTTTTAATATTTGTCAGGAATTTTTTTATTAAAAAAAGCCAAGAGCATTTATTTGAAATATGAACTTTTGTAACATCATAAATGTCTTTACTGTCACTTTTGATAAACTTTACGCATCCTTCATTAAAATAAATAAATAAATAAAAATACTAACCCTAAACTTTTGAACAGTAGTGCATATTAATCATCCAGGACTTTTCCAGGATCTTTCCAGTCAATTTGTGATTACTGAATAAGAATTTTCATTATGATTTAGACTGGTTTGCTAATGAATCAATCAGATCAGCTTGGAAGAAATTTGATAGATTAAAGTATTGACTACAAAAAAACGTAAATCATAACAAATCTTCATACAATCTCAAAATTTAGTCAATTAAATATTTTAGAGCAGAGCCTTAATAGAAAAAATAAGTATACTGTATATTCACTACAGAAATTTCCATGACTTTTCCAGGCATTAAAAACACTATTTTACAATTCCCTGAGGTTGCCACAACCTTACAAACACTGTACATAAGAATTATTCAAAGCTTGCTTTGCTCCATTAAAAACACTGTGCATGAATTCTAAAAAGCATTCTGGCAGTAAATCAGATGATGCAGTTTCCTGGCAGTGGACTGACATTTTAACGACTAATTCTGACACTTTTCTCACCTACAATCTGCTCCATCTTTCCTTTACCTCAGGTGAAGCCTGAAGACCAGGTCTGGAGTCAGTAAACACCTGTCAAACAGAACATGAGAGCTGCACCCATGCACACTGCACTACTGGACTCAACCACTAAAGTCATGAGAAAAACACTTATATTAGTCTTCTTTCAGATGTTTGCTACGAATGTGAACAGCCATAAAACACAAAAGATAAAGATAATTGTTGTAGACTTTACCCAGGAGAGGGAATTAATTAAAATTCATACATGTAAAAGATGGAAAAATGTATCATGCAAAAACACCGCTAGATCAGACATGATCAGAAAGAGTGAAGATGTTCAGCAGAGCGCATAACTTTTCCTTTTTCCCACGCGAAAATGGACTCAGCTATCAATCATCGTCAGTCAGCTTCCTGTCAGTCAATACTCACACCACCATTCACTCTCTTCCGTTTTACCCTGAGGGAACAGTCTCAGCAGGCCCATTAAAAAGAGAAAGCCTGACATCACTGGTGCTTTTTCATTACACAACCTTCTAAACCTTCATCAGAAACTTTTTTTCCCAATAGATTGTTTATTGGTGTTCTGAACATGGGATAAACTCTGTAAACAAAACTATTTACTAAAGCTTCACCTGTGTGATCAATAGAGTGGTCCTTGTGTGAACAAACATTCAAATGTAACATATTTTGTAATTCAAAACTGAAGTACAACCTAACATATGCATATTTCTGCAGGTGTTCTGAAAAAAACAAAAACATCATTTAGGGTGCTTTCACACCTGGCCTGTTGTTTCGGAACCTGGAGCGTTTCCACCCTTAGCTCGGTTCGTTTGGGCATATGTGAACACGGCAATCGCGCTCGGATCCGCGCCAAAACAATCGGTCCGAGATCGCCTGAACGAGGTGGTCTTGGCTCGATTGGAAACGAACTCTGGAGCGGTTCGGTTGTAGTGAGAAAGCAATCCGATCCAACGGACCAACGAACCAGGCTATATCACAATTTATGATGGGTAATTAAGTAAGTTCCGTGAAAAGCATCAGCTTTGTTGTTTTGCTAATACCTCAAAATGAACCAGTGAATGTCTGTGGGTGAGCACGTCTTTGCCATTCAAAAATCAAAGCACACTTTATTTTATAATGCCGTCTTATTGCTCTTCTTTGTAGGTGCATTTTAAAAATGTTTTCCCAATCAATCCTGGACTCCTGCTCAAAATGATAAATTATTATAACGACGGCTACAAAAAAAACATGTATTTGTGTTAACATGACTTGTATTAACAAATTTGGTCTGTTTAGAAACTTTGCCATGTGAAAGCGAACCGCACCAAGAATAAAAAGCAACATTGTAATAATTTTAATCCGTTTCGGAACAAAGCAATCGATCTACAGGTGTGAAAGCACCCTTATAAACACTGATTAACATAATATAATAATAGAGAATGGCTAAATAAATAATAAATAAATGGTTTATTGCGGGTTTAAATGTTTGGACTTGAAAAACACACGGGATAGTGCATCAAGGAGAGTGACAGTTTCCTTAATATCCGGGGGTGTGTAAGGTGTTTTCTCTCACAGCTGGGGAAAATGGTAAAATGCGCCCTCTGGGACCTTTACGCAGTTGGGAAACCTGAACACTCTCCACCTATGGCTCAGTGATTGACAGTTAACTATATAAACCTAAACTTTAGAAGTCCCACCCACTTTGACTAAATGGAATGTCAGGACAATACAAGTAACAACAGAGGGTGATGTGCAATCATAAGTCTTGTGAAGGTGACATCTTTAAGAGAGCGATTCAACTTCAGCTCAACAGCAAATGTTTCCACCCACTTCATAATATTACTTTATTTCATACAGTAAATACTTCATAGTATTACGTTATATTTTTATAACATTTTATATTTAATTTGGGGTGTACAATATATCTATAACATATTGATCATATTTTATCTCTATTCGTCTCTGTTGTGTTTATATACTGTGAAATAATGGATATTTAATTGTACATGATCATTCCCATATATTTACACATATATTGCCTTTTCCAATGTATATTTATAATATATGTAAATAATGTATTTTATATATACAGTATATACTGTATATATATATATATATATACACACACACGCATCTATCTATCTATATATATAAAGTGCTGAAATACAATAAAGTGAACCTGGACATTAATTTTAAAGTTTTCATTCATTTTTTTCCCCAAAATTTTTTGAAAATATTGAATTCTAAACTGAAACAACCACTAAAGGCAAACTTTACAATTTTCAGGTAAAACACCTTTTTCCCATCACTCACAACATATGATTACATATGCTGTAACCTCATTTTCTTGATTAAGGGAAGTTGGTATACAATAACACGCCCGATATGATTAAAGTGCTTAAAGCCCTACTTGACATACTCAAGTTAAGAAATAAGATTCATGGTCCAACACACATATATACATACTGTAATCCCCTCTCTCATACACACACAAACACACTTATCACTCAGCATGTCAATGCAGTGGAGAGGCATCATGTGTTGCTAAGATTATGTGGCAGGGTAAATAAACACTAAGTGCTGACAGACGTGCAGGGGGTCGCTGTGATGCACACTAGACAACACTCACACTGTGCAGGGGCAAGGCGAGGTGACCCTGATACTCTGCTAATCTAAACTTGTGTGCATCAGCACATGTGCATATGTTTTTTGGGTCGAAAGCAGTGAGAAGTATGTGATATGTGATATTGATCCTTTTGCAAAGACGCAAGATGTTCTTTCCTCTCCTTATTTGGGAAATGGCTCCAAGGTTGCAGTGGACTTAGTTTACAATTACCTTTAACCATCTAAATTGCACAATCCCAGATTTAACAACACCTAAAATTACATTTAATCTTAGAGTATTTGTTTGGTTCTATGATATACCAATCTTTATTTCACTACCATTCAAAAGTTTGGGAGCAGTAAGATTTTTAATGTTTTCAAACAAAGTTTCTTGTGCACATCAATACTGCATATAATACAGTAAAAATAGTAATATTGTGAAATATTATTCCAATTTAAAATAACTGCTTTCTGTTTTCATTTAACATAACATTTATTCCTGTGATGATAAAGCTGAATTTTCAGCAGCCATTACTCCAGTGTCACAGCATATCATTTGGATATGCTGTTGTGGTGCTCAAAAACATTTCTTATCATTATCAATGTTGAAAAGGATTGTGCTTCTTAATATTTTTGTGGAAGCAATTGTGGAAACTGGTAGTATGTATATAAAGAACTTATTTCAACAAGAGATTCTGCAGAGTTAAAGGTCTTGATGTTTAAAAAAAAGAGCAGCAGAGGGCAGAGGAGAGAAATCAAATATGCAGGACAGCTAGAGAAAATAGAAAGATGAAAAGTAAGAGCGAGAAGAAAAGAAAAAAAAAATACTAATCAGGCCCAGCCTTGAGTCAACATATGATGCTACTGGGAATCATAGTAGAATTAATTTCTGGAGAAAAATGGATTACTCGTAATATGAGACTGCAAAAGCAAACAGTCAGAGACAGGATTAGCTCTCTAGTCCAGCTGACTTCTGTTTGAAACTGCTATTACTCAAAACTAAAAATCAGACCCTGGCTTAGTAAGTTGGGAATGCGCCTACAATTACTTTGATCACTTCACTGGATCAAGAGCAGAGCCAGACACAACATCATGTACACAGTATTATGTGAGGATACTCAACTGTTGACAGTGTGTTTAATAAAGACACAATAAACATTACTAAAGCAAACAACCCATAATTAGCATGGTTTTGAAAAGGAGATGTTAATGAGTTTGAATGTCAAGTGACTCACCTGATAAGTGCCAATACCAATGTGTTTGGGGTCAATTTTAATGAGCTCTGCTAAAGGATCCTGAACACGCCTCCCAATGGACACTGAGGATAAAGAAAAGAATGCAAGAGGAAATTATCTCACCATTATGTGTAGTTAATGTTCAGATATAATAATAAATGTCTCAAGAGAACAACATTTACACTTTAATAAACCCACAGACTTAATTAAGAATAAATTAGACTCACATGAGCATAGATCTATGTAAATGAGAGACTATTTAAATCATGCAAAAACTTGCGTGGCACGTACTGCACTAATCACAGCTTAACAGATTATATTAATAAACAAGATTTGCATTTACTGAAATATCTGCATTTGCAACACACAACTATGGAAGCCCGTTTCCACCACAGAATAAAATAAAAAGGTAATTGTGACTTTTTATATCACAATTCAGATTTTTTTTACAATACAGTACATAAATCTGAGAATTGTGAGAAAAAAGTCAGTTGTTGGATAAACAATTTGCAATTTACCTTTATTAATTTAATTGATTAATTAATTTATTTGTTTATTTTATTCTGTGATGGAAAGAAGCTTTTATACACAATTACTCAGCAGTAAATGTAAATGTGACTACATATGGTTAAAAAAAAGAAGGCCAATCACAATTGAGCATGCAAATAGATGCAAGAAAAAAAGACCTATCCAAATATTACTGTTTCCAATTATTACTGTTGATGTCATTGTTATTATTTACATTCTGTCAGTCAATAAGACTTTTAAATTTGAATCTTAAATGCTTTAAAAAGTATAAAGTTTACAATAAAGCAAAAATGCTCAATTAAGGCTGAGATAATCTACGCAAAATCTGTGAACAAATGACAAGATCATTTAACAGACCAAGCTACAGATGAATATGCCATCACATCTGTCAGAGAGAAAGAGAAAGAGAGAAACAGGCCCAATAATAGACACACTCACTTATGAATCCCCTTTTCCTAGTAATCTGTCAGGCAAAGACATGGGCCAACTAAGAGAGGTCTGGTCAAATAAGAACCCAATTAAAGACAAACAAAAACCCAATTCAGAAAAACCTGAATCTAACTTATCCCAGGAAATGTGACCAGCCAAACACAATATTATAAAATGAAATGAACTTAAAGGGGTCATATGATGCTTTTTTAAAGATCATTATTCTATGCACAATCAGCTTGTAACACTCCAAAGAGAAAGGAAAACTTGAAATCGCATCATATGACCCCTTTAAGCAGTTTGGCGCACTTGTTCCATTAACTTTATCTAGTCTTGTTGAAGGTCAGCAAATGAAAGTAAGATTTTCATCTTTACTCGACCATGTGTGCGAGAGTCAGAGAGCAAGAGTGAGAGACAGAGAGAGCGACTCAGACAGAAATTGCGTGGTTTTCTGCCCAAGCACAACCTCCACATTACAGAGAGTGGAGAGAAGTGCTTTTGTGTGCGCTGTACAAGGCCTGAGCTGAAACTCCATCCCTTTCCAAATATTATTACAGGCAGCAATTTCCCACAGAGTTCAATGTGGAGACGCAGCGAGTCAGGCTTGGCGATCACGCTCCAGCAAGTCACCTCAAAACCTCCTTCCACAGTCACCCACTTCAGCCAGCACATCCACCTTGATCTTTACAGAGAGCCGTCCACCTCTACAAAAAATTGTCCTCAAAGTATGAGCACTTTCTCTACTGCAGGTATGACAGCGTGGGTTAGAGCAGGAGGAGTCATTTAATGAGCAAGTCATTTTTGCAGGACATATCATAATTAGAAATTAGTCAGAAAAACAAATTAATTAACATGTAAAGGGCCACTGGATAAAAATCCTATAAAAACAATAGACATTATTTAATTATTTATATTTTAGCAATATAGCAGTGTTTGATGCATGAAACACAAAACATTACACACATTTACACACATCCCACAAACAAAGGACAGCCCAATTTCTTACGCCTTTCATAAAAGCGATAAATATAGCTCCCTAGTTTGCTCTTGCGCTTGACCAGAGGAAAATTTATGATTAATCCCATACTGATTTACTGCTTTTATAGAGGAAGTCTGGTATAATTCTCAGATCCTGTTTTTGAGAACGTTTGAGTGATTTCCAAACTTTTCGCCTTGCTTTTTTATTTCTGGAAGAGTAGAGAGAGTGCTTGTGTGGTCTAAACACAGGCAAACCTTTTTACAGAAAGTTCTGTTTCACAGAAACATATCTAATGGGTATGACAGATATAGAGAGAAGTGAAACGAGATGGTTTGATAAAGTTTGAAAGACTATTTCCAAGACTGTCACCGCTTCTGAAGTCTATGTATTGACAACTGGAGATATGAATGTGGCCTAAAGGTAACAGGGAGTCTATTTTAGACTAAGGAGACGGGTGACTGAAATGGCAAGTAAAGGTCTGGTTGAGTGGGAGCTGAGTTGGACTGACAGGTAAAGGCCAGTGTGACTGGAGACTTGGATTCTTGGCACTGGAAAATATAAAAGCTTTGAATTCATGTGCACAAGGTTGTATGTTTTTTTTTTTACTTATTTTTCCTCTTTTTTAGATTTTGACAAATGTGTTTATTTCCTTGGATTACTCTGCCATTTTTATTTTATTTTATTTTTTAAAACTTTTTTATAATATTAATATATTTTTAGATATTTTTGTAATCTTTAATTTTTTAATAATTGTATATTTTATTTTGAATAATCTTTTTAATAACTTTTTTAAATAATATTGTATTTTTATGTAATATTATTATTTTTTACTTTTATAAGACTGTTAGCACTGGCAGACTTGGCCACAAAAATGTTTAAATCTGCCGAAAGCCTTATCAACAGTTGATAATGTGTTAATAGTGAATTTTGAGCAAATACTATGTACAAGTGTTTCTTTGATTTCAGATTTTGTGTTTATCTCATTCATCATCATTAAATTGCATTACGCACATATATGGCATTCTCTCAATAAAGGCATCTTGACATAAAAAATAAAAAAAAACACAATGGTCGATCAGTAGTTCGAGCGTGAAAAGAAGGAATAAGCAAATCACCTGCACTCCTTAAGTTGGGATCCATATCAGGCATCTCTTTAACAGCCTCAGGACTCACACTGTAGATGGACGCTCCTGCTTCATCTGTTATACTGAAACAACAGACACACACTGAAGCACATTTCCAAGGAAATCATAGCGGTAACCTCATGAAGACCCCAGTTAACCTATTTGAAGGTCCCTCAGCACGTCTACAAGGCGACAGACCAAAGAGTCCATTTAAATACATTTCCATAGAAAGCTTGTAGTTTATACTGCAGGCACTGAAGTTATATATATATATATATATATATATACAGTGGGTACGGAAAGTATTCAGACCCCCTTAAATTTTT